AACACAATCTTACTTGAATTTGCTTCTACACAAACATTCCAACCCACAAAATGTTTTTTTTTTTTCACATAGAGATCTGAAGACCAACCCCAGCCTATGAACTGTTCCTACCTCCTAGACCAGGGTTGAATTTACTTCTACACAAATATTCCAACCCACAAATTGTTTATATTGATTTTTTTTCACATAGAAAAGAGATCTGAAGACCAACCCCCAGCCCATGAACTATTCCACCTCCTAGACCAGGAAGGTTGTCCTTCAGAGTGTGGGGCTCTTTTTCTAGAGATCTTCTCCTTGAGATTCAGCTATGACTGTGGATGGAGGACACGCTTCATGTAAACCTCAGGGGACCCTAATCCACACATGCAGGCCCCCGAGGAAGGGTTGGTGCATACACCAGGCCCAATAGGGGCCTTGTCCATGATGCCAGAGTTCCCTTCCACCCACTTCCATCTGGTCCCCCCTGCCCTCAGCAAGTCCTGGTTTAACGTGAACCATTGAGACTCTTTCTGTTCTTGAACTCCACTAACTGGGCCCATGCAGATGCGTTCTTTCTCTATAGAGCTTGGTTTGCTCCTGATCCTTGGGGATGCCTTCATGCTATTGATTTTACCAAAAGCTTATTTTTAAAAAATCAATAAATGGTATTCCATTCTATAAACATACCACAAGGTGTTCATTAAATCTCCTGCTAACGGACAAGTGTGTCTTTCCCAGGTCTGGTTCCTATGGGGAAAGTAACCATGAACAGTCTTATTCAAGACATCTCTCAAGTATTTCCTTTCTCTCTTATAAATACCTAATGGTGGATTTCTGGATCATAGGGTTGGTGTAAGTTTAAATTACCAGAAACTGCCAAACTATTTTCCAAGTAACATTTCACATGTATGAGAGTTTCTGTTTCTCCATGACAACTTCGTTTTTGATGCTGTTGGTCTCTTTGATTTTAGGTGTTAAAGTGTTGTCAGAAGGTCTCTTAATGTAGATTATTTTTGGTTTAACTTTTATACTTTTTTCATGAGATTATTGGCTGTCTATCTTTACATATGTTTTAAAAACATCTACTTAAGTAATTTTCGCTGGGTCATTTTCTTTGTTTTATTGAGATATAAGAATCCTTGATAAATTGTGGATCTAGAACGTTTGTCAAACATATGTGTTCTGAATGTTTTCTCCAACTCTCTTAGTGATGGTTGGTGGCAGAATTTTTTTTCAAATGACATTCACATTCAGTTTGTCAAAGTTTCCCTTTTCTGTTGAGTGCTTGTGTGGCCTGAGAATCAATGCCATTCCAAGGCACTGGAGATGGCGCGGCTGTTGTCCTCAGCAGCTCCACGGTATCAATTCAGACAGTTAGGATAATAATCTGTTGCTATGGCTTGAGTGGGGTTTGCCTTACAGGGGTTCATAGGTTGGAAGCCTGGTCTTTGGTGGGCGATACTAACAGGTGGTGGAACTTTAAACATGTGGAGCCTCCTAAGAGGTCATTAGGAGCCCTGGTCTCCAAAGAAACTGTTGTAGTTCTGATGGGACCCAGATTAGTTATTGCATGTCCACTGCTAAAGAAAAGCAAGTTTTGGCTTGCCCTCTGCTGTGACTTCCTGTTTCACCCTCTGATCTCTCCCTTACTATTAACACCTGCCATTGCGATGCCATCCATTATGATGTGATCTGGTCCAGGGGTCCAGGCTGGTCGCCTCCAAAGCTGTGAGTCAAATAAATCTATTTTCTTTATAAAGTAACCTGCCTCAGGCATTTCATTATAGAAGTGGATTATGGAATAATTCATTTATCTTAAATCAGTTTTATTTTGTGATTTGTTGTGTGTACCTGATGAAATGAGCCTTTTCATATTTTTTAAAAAGTCTCTCATTATCTCTGTTAATTCTCCTAATCATGATTCTACTTGGTCTGATATTAATATACCAACTTCCTTATTAATTTGATATAGTATATCTTTCTTCTATCTTCATACTTTTCTTCAACTACAACATTCTAGTTAAACTGATTTTGGTTTTGGTTTTGCATATAGCTAGACCAGTTTTGTTTTGTTTTTTTAAAATCTGAGCTTCCAATTTGTTTTTTTTAATTGGAGTGTTTGTATTATTTATATTTCAGGCATAATTAATATTGTTTGCAGTTCTACAAGTTTACAATTTATTTTCTTTTTGTTTCAATTAGTTTTTATTCCTTTGTTTCTTTGTTCTTATCTTCTTTTGAATTATGTTTTAATATTTGGTTTTCCTGAAGTTTTTAGTTATACTGAATTAAACATAATATAGTAGAAATCAATTAAACTGAAAAACATTCAGTTATATCGTTTTAGTTTCACATTACATTTATTTTTAGAGGTTATTTTAGGAATTAAAATATGAATGCTTGGTTTACCACTGTTTACCAACCTGGCAAAAGTATTCCTTCACATAGAATATAAAAGTTTCCAAAGTATAATTTAACCTGCTCATATATTTTTTCTGTGTTCAAAATTTAATGTACCCACTTATTATTTACTATTGTCATAAGTTTTAAAAGCACATGCTATACACTCCACATTATGATGTAATAACTTGTGCTATAAATATTTAGATTTTTAAAAGATAAATTAAGATCAGAAAAATGATCTTTTATCTTTACTCACATATCCATTCTTTTCAACTGATATACTTCTCCATCTGACACCATTTTCTGCCTGTCTGGAAAATTTTCCATTAGCAATTCTTATAGTTCAGGTCTATTTTCAATTATTTATTTCAGATTTTAGCTTAGACGTCTTTATTCAGCTTCACATTATTATTATTATTATTATTAGTAGTAGTAGTAGTAGTAGTAGTAGTAGTAGTACCGGGTATTGAACACAGGGACACTCAACCACTGAACCACATCCCCAGCCCTATTTTGTATTTTATTTAGAGACAGAGTCTCAGTGAGCTGCTTAGCATCTCACCCGTTGCGAAGTTGGCTTTGAACTGAGCCTCTGGGAATCCAGGCATGTGCCACCTCACCCAGCTTCTATTATTTATAACAGAACTTTTAGTTAATGTTTCTCTGTACATATGTGTGTGTTTCAATCTTGGGTTATTTTCAAAATTTTATCTATTTTCTTCATTTTTGAGAACTTTGATTAAATTGTGCCTACATGAGGTTTTTATTTTTTAATTTTTTTTATTTGTTTTAATCTGAAATAATTAATTGATAATAGTTATACATGATAGTAGAATGCGTTTATGCACTTTGATATATCACACATAAATGGGGCATAATTTCTCATTTTTCTGATTGGTTTTCTTTGTATTTATCCTGTATTAGACTTGTTCAGCTTCTTGAATCTGTTAATTGAAGTCTTCCACCAAATATGTGATATTGTAGGGCAATATTTCTTCAAATATTTTCTCTGTCCTCCTGTTTCTGATACCTTAATACATTGCATATCAGGAATCTCAATAGTGTTTCACAGGATAGTTATGTTCTACTTAGTTTTAAAACTCCTCTTTTGAAGAAAAAAAGAACTTTTTTCTTCTTCCTCTTCCTTTTTATTTTCCTGTTTTAAATTCAATTATCTTTTTTTGTCCATCTCCAAATGCCATCAAGTCCATTCAATGAATTTTATTTTACTCAGATCTTGACTTTCCAGGACTGGGGTTTCCATTAGATTCTTTTGCACAGTTTCAGTTTCTTGCCAAGACTCCTTGATGGTTTACTCTTGGTGACCACCTCTTGTGAAAGGTATCTATGGTAGCTGTTTTTAGGTGCCTGTCTGCTCAATATTACATTTGGGTAATTATCAGAGTTAGTTGAAGTTGACAGAGAAAATATTTGAAGTAATATCGCCTTAAAATGTAGCTTATGCACCACATTTTCTTGTTTATTTGAACGTTACTAACTGCTACTTTGTTACTGAAATTTGAAGTGATACTTTGCCTCTAACATGTGCTGACTCTGGTTTCAGAAGGCAGCTCACTTACTGGCTAGTCACCTTCACATTCAGAAACTTCTGTGCTCCGGTTCACATGCAGTTCAGTTTTACCCTGGTCACAGGGATTCCTTGGGCCTAGAGTACAGTCCTCTCCACAAGGAGTGTCTCTTTTGTTAGTCAATAAAAGCCTGATGTATCTACCAAGTCCCTCTGGTTTGGTGAGACTCCAACTCCATCCTATTCCTTAGGAATGTAGCAGCTACAACTCTGCTCTGCTGTTCTGCTGTTGCTCTCTGCTGCCTCCATACCTGGGCAGCCCAGATTTACCCCAGCATTTGAGGATACTTATGCTCAGATTTTAGGCTTCTCTTTTTTCTTCTTGTCAGCCAACTCCAGCTCACTTCTGACACCTCGAATCATGAAGCTGTGGCTTCCCGTCTGAGTTCCCACAAAGCTCCTGCTCTGGAGTGTCCTCAGAGAGAGCCTGAGCCAACCTGGGCTTCCACCAGGCTGGTCTTTCTCCTAAGTGCTACATCCCATCCCATTTCATGCTTGCTGAAGTTGGTCACGGTTCGCCATATTCTAATGGGGAGGGGCTAGCATGCACATGTGTGTGTACCACACACACTTATCTTCAGAGCTGCTCACTATTATCTGCACAGGGTTGTTCCCACACAGCCATTTTTCTTTCACAGAAATTAGAACTACTTTTGGAATATTATTTTACAATGTAATTCAAGTCAGGTGCATGCTGCTCACATATAGTCTCTGCTACTGGGGAGACTTTGGTGGGAGAGCTGCTTGAGCCCAGGGGTTCAAGGTCAGTCTAGGCAACATAATGAGACCCTCTCCCAAAAATTAAAAATTAAATACACACACACACACACACGTTAATGGGTATATAAATTAACCTTTATCATTTCCAAAAGTGAGTGACATTATACACTAAGCACATAGTAAAAACAGAGTGAAATATAAATTTAAAGCAGGAATACATATTTTGAATTTTTAGACTCACTGATCTCAAAGATTGTTTTAGTTAACTTATTCTAGAATTTGGTATCTAATTAACCATAATTCTTTTTTTTTTAATATGGAACACTTCACGAATTTGCATGTCATCTTTGTGCAGGGGCCATGCTAATCTTCTCTGTATCATTCCAACTTTAGTATATGTGCTGCCAAAGCGAGCACCAAGCAAACTTTACTATTAAGTGCCTCAAAATATCATTGACTTAGTTTTAATTGAGTGAAATAATTTAAGCCAAGTTTTTTACGTATGTGAAAGAAAATAAAAGTGTTATGACAATGTAAACTCTATATGATTACTGCTCTTCATTCATTTTTTCTTGTCCCAACAGTGTCTTTATTCTCTAATCCAAACTTTTAGATTAAAACACAGTCCCTAAAGATATTCTTTTGGGGAATTGGAGAGCAGTTCCATAATGTTATGTGCATTAGATCTGTGGAAGGACAGGTTCCATGGGGAGATGTTAAACTTGCTGGCATGGTGAAGTGTACCCTGAGGGCTAGCTGTTTGCCACGTGTGATATTCTAAGCACAGGTAGTCATAAAGCTGGACACGTTGTTGGCTGATGGTTCTGCACTGGAAAGGAGACGAGCACAACACCTTCATGGCACTGAATTCAGGACTCTGACACATTGGCACTCTCGTAGAACGGCGTGTTTCTACTAAGGTCTGCCTATTTGGGGTGTCCATGCTAATCAGACTGTGTTTCAATGTTTTGGAACATTAAACCAGAGAATCAGAAGTCATCTTGCATGATCTATAACTACTCGGCCCAGATCTGGTTCTTCAAAATTACTAATTCACTAGATTATCTGTTACATTTTAAGTAACTCACAGTATGAAAAAAATTCTGTCTTAGGTTGAGTGAAAATGCATCTCTGCTTAATTTCAATTTATTTTTAAATTTTTTTTTCCTGTGAAGCTTCTCAAATAAGCTACTTTCACATATTAGCTCTGAGCTCAATAGCAGTTCTTAATATACACCCACTATTTGACAAAAGGATGAGACCAGAGCTTGAAAATATTTCAAAAGAGCTCATTAATATTACACATGATAAAATAAGAACTTTTTAGTTTTTTCTCCCATACCAAGTACCATTGACACGGGAGGGTGGGTGGTGAGGGCTTTCGTTGTTACGGACAAAGCAAAGATTGATTGCATTTCACTCTTAACATTGACCCTCTGGACTTCTGTAACAAGGCAATTAGTGTTATGACTTTCTTTGTATCTCTAGGATGGACAGATTACATTGCTGGTTCAACCTACATTTCCTTCTTCTTTCTTGCTAACTCCTAGGCTGTTCCTTTTGTTTGAGCTTCTGGTCAGCACATGTTCTGGGAAGTGAGTAGTGAATCCCAAAGGATCGTGCCCTTGTGGTGGTCTTATTGCTCTTCCTGTGAAGACTGTGCTGGTGGGTTCTGAGGCATGCCTGCCTGGCACTCCCATGGCCATCTGCTGATGGACGGTGTAACTTGTGGTCTCTCCAGACTGATCAGGACCCTTCTTGTGGGAGGGGGGATTCTTCTAAATATAAAAGGGTCATATTTCCTAACCTAATAAAGGAGGGAAGTTGGGGGAGCCAACCTTTTTGTGCTCATGTACTTCCTGTTTAAAACCCTCTTGTGTGAGGATGTGACGTCAATAGCTGCACTGTTCCACTTGGGCTTAAGAGATGACAAGCTTAGGGGAGAGTAGTCAGGGTGCCAACATGGTGTACCAAGGGTAGATGGCCCTGGGGATTTAGGACCTCCTGGAGACCCCTCTCCCTCTAGACTTCGTATTGAGTCATGGAAAGGAATTCTCTGTCTTGGAGCTGAGAGCCATCCTAGGTACCTCCACACTTTTTACCGTAGTAGGAGGCAGACCTGAGGGCCTGGGGTCAAGATTTTCATTTAGTTCCAAGGATGGGAAAAAAGAACCTATGAAGAATGGGGGGGGGCAGAAAGTCCAAAGTGCATAGCGAGAAGCAGAAAAGGGAGAGAGCCTGGGAAATAAGGAGACAGGGTTCTGACAGCCCTTCCCAGTGGGAAGCAGACTGAAAAAGTGGCCCACAGTCAAAACATCCAACAACCAGTGGCAGGAAAGCCACTCCCAACCTGTGTGCTCACTGCTCCTCACTCACAGGGGTGTCTGTGTCAAATCAGTGCCAATCACGCTGGGCGGGCAGGCTCTGTGTCCACCCCCCACCTGCAAATACTGTGGCCTGAACAGGACCAGACTTCCCTGAATGACTCGGAAGTCAGACGACCTGAGGTGGCCAAGGTGAAGGCTGGCCATGTTCATGGGTTTCCCAGGATCCCGGGCAAAGTCACCAAGGAAGGGGCCATGGAAACTAATCAATGAGAGTCGACAGAAGTCCTGGTCCATGTGGGGTACCACCGAGCCCTGACCAGGATGACCACAAGTTATACCCTCCATCAGCAGATATCAATAGATGACCAGGCAAGCATGTCTTCAAAGCCACTGGTCAAAGAATGGTTCAGACCGAGGGTAATGGAAGCACCTGGACCCCAAGACTTGCTTCTCCTTGAACAGTTTACTTTCCATGTCCCTTACTGCTAGCTGCCACTTTGGTGAAGTTTGGGGAAGGCAGGCAGATGCTTAACATGGGGCCGTTGCCTGTCGACCCAGGGCTTGGGTTAGTTACATCAAGAGGTTCTTCAGTTACGGAGGCAGACGATGACTTCACTGGCAGTCCACTTTCTTCCCCACCCAGCAAGAATGGGGCTTCCCCAAACGCTCAAAACACTTGCAGGAACATAAAGAAGAAAGATTCTCTGCATATCCAAGTGCCTCCTGGAGCCCAGATGGGGCTAGAAAACACCTGGTTTCCAAGGGAAGCTCTCCCAAGCACCTCCTGGTATCCAACTGCTGCGTGGTAGCTCTGACTGCCCAGGTCTGCAGAAGTCACCTTTCTCCTATGACTTGACATCTCTATGCCATTTCTAACATTTAGTTCCCCGAACCAAATAACCATTTTGAAGTAATCAAGTTTAGATTTCACATGTGATCATTAATCCTTTTTTAAATCAGTTATATTTTAATTATTATTTCTCTAGCATCTATCTTCCATAACTATTATTTAATTGAAATTGATATGCCACCTAATTCCAAGACAGTTGATATTATCTTTCTAACAAGATGCTATTTAAGATAGATCAACCTGCAGATGGCCATTAATTTACTACTCTTTCTTGGGAATTGGGTGATGTATCAATCAATCAATCATCAATCAAAGAAGAAATAAAAGCTTTCAGGTAGTTAAGAGAAACAGGGAAGCTTTTTGTATTAGAGGACGACCCACACATTATGATGTGAATAAATAAATAAATAAATAAAGCTATACTGTGTGGGTCAGCCAGTGATCTAAGCATCTTAATTAGCATGGTCTCCTGTCTTAAGGACTTATAAAGTCTGCTTCTCCGAGAATCTATGATCTTGGGCTGAGGATCAAAAGAAAGATCAATGATCATGGTAAACCACCCCTCAAATGCTTAACAGAAAACTTTAGATATCCTACAACAATTTGTTCATCTAACAATTACTGGTTACCAAGGGCTGGGTAGAGTTGCTCCGTCCTTCTGCTGAGGGCTGTGGCAAGGCATTCCTTAGGGAACACACTTTGATTGTGGTTCAGTATGTCTGATAGATACCTGCAATTGTTTTCTTTTTAGTATCTGGAGCCTGTTCTTGAACTGGGACTTTTAACGGAGCCTCATTTACTAGGCTAAGTACAGAAATCATTGCATATTCCATTTTGCAGTTTTGATTGGCTGTAATTCACTGAACTTTTGAAGAAGAATAAAGACTGAATACAGTTTAGGTCAACAATACTTTACTCGTAAGAAGAAACATTCTGGAGGGTTCTAAATGCAAGAAAGTATCTGGTTGGTAAAGTGCAAATAAATCATTGGAATCACCTGAACTTTATTCTTCACTAACGTATGTGATTCCTCTTGTACTCCTTCCCAACTCCTTTATACTCTAATTTTTCCCATAAAATACTACTGATGGAGGATAAAGAAAGCAATGGACATGTTTCTATACCATCAACAAATTCAGAGGATTCACAAAAACCCTGTATCTTATATCTGTAAATTTTTGTCTCAAATGGACATAATTGTATTAAATATCTGTAAAGTTAAAGACTAAATACAATTGCATCATTTTATGTCTATGTTAGAAAAGCAAACACACCACTGTAGTATATGCATAATTGCAAACTGTGTATCTTAGGGACAGGTATTTAGCTCTCTAATGAAAGCTGGTATAAGCCAATACTGCGCAACCTCCAAGTCTGAATCTATTTTCTGTAGTTTAATCCAGATATTTTAATAATAATATCTTTAAAATCTCTTTTCTTTCTTCTTCTTCCTTTTTTAAAATGATAAGCCTCTGTTTTTTGGCTCCTTGAAAGAATACGTTCAGAAGTAAAGAGCAGCCCTACCGCAGCGGGGGAGACAAACCTTTTTTCATGTATTAGTTATTAGACTGTAATGCAATAATGAGTGTCTAGGTTTAAGATTGCCTTTTTATTCCTTTGGCCTGCTGAGCATGAAAATGTCTTCAGCGTTTCTCAGTAACAATGTAAATATAGCCTGTCTAGAGAGTGTTGGCACATGAACTGTATCTGGCTATTTGGAGGCTATTTAATCTAAGGCAATTGCCCACATGAACCCAGCAACCTCCCCTGACCACTGTCCCAAGTACCACCTTGTAGTGAAGGATGGGAAGAGAAGAGTGTATTTCCGATGTCTCATGCAAAAGAGAGAGTAGGCTCTTTCTTCTTCAGGCAGGTTCAATTGATTCTTCATTGAAAATATTCTTGTATTACTGGGACAGTATTTTCTTTATTTAGCTAGCTCTATATGAAAATTTAGTTATTACATATCTATGTGCTCAGAACTCAGACATTCTATTTTTAAAGCCCAGCATTTAGAGATCCTTATCTATATTGATACAGATTATCAGGCTTTTATTATAATTAATGGCAAAATAAGTCTGAGTGCTCGTCATCGGTTAAACTGCATTACTAAAAAGATGGCCCTTTTATGTAACCATCCCCATTCCCCGAATATTGTTTGGCCATAGGAGCTTGCTATTGTAGGGAACAGTGTAATGCTCGGCTGATGGGGCTGAGAAGGAGGGGAAGGAGGACAGGAG